CCCAGGAGTTGGAGGTTGCTGTGAGCTGTGATGCCATGGCACTCTACCCAGGGGGATAGCTTGAGGGTCTGTCTCAAAAAAAAAAAAAAAGAAATGTAATTGCTAGATCTCAGGATTTACAAATGTTCAAAATTATCAGTAGTCAGGAAACCATCAGAAGGTTAGAGTTACATCAAAGCCATCATGGTCTTGGTCAGGGATGGGAAGAAAGCTTGGCCTCAGTCCACAGACCTTAGGATCAATCTGTGGACAGTGTTGGAAGTAGTATAGAGAACTAAGTTAGGAGTCAGTCCATGGGCAGGGTTGAGGGTGAGTGTGGCCGCAGTTGGGAAGAATCTGAAACCTAGGTTTGGGTTGGGTTTGGACAAGGTTGGAGGACACCATGAAAATGGGTTTGAGCCAAGGTTATAAGTCAGGCTGTCATAGTGCACAAAACATGACACTGGCGATACTGTCACCCTACCAAGCAGTGGCCATGAGGCCCTAGCCACCCACAAGGTAAGACTCGCTCTGGGTCCACAAAGTTCTTTCGCCCAAGGTCATGGAGTGGAGGACAAAGGAGCAGGAGCGCGTTGCTCTAAGGGATCCATGCAGAAAGAGAAGTCAGGCACAGGAAAGGGAATACAATAGTACCTTTAATGAGGACAGCCCTGTCTCATATACCCCCAAACACTCTCAACAGTCCCCTTATGGGCAGGAAGGGCAATTGGTCCCCACCCAGCCCAAGTCCTCCCTTCTCCTAGCTGAGCCCACTCCTCAGCCCCTCTTCTCCAGCTGCTGCTGTCTCCAGCCCAGATTGGGGATGCAGGTCAGCTCCCAAGAGGGGCAAGGGAGCCCCTCAGCTGCCGGGGGCAGTTTCCCCCATGACCGAGGACCTGGAGAACTAGCCTGGGAAGAGACATCCCTGTCATCGGAGGAACTGGCTGGAGACCTGGTTCTGGGGGCGCAGACCAAGCCAGGGAACCGCCCCCCATGGCCCAGCGCTGGGAGGTGCAAGGCTGGCCCCTGGGTGTTTGGTACTGCTTTGAGGGGCACGCCAGGTCTCTGCATGTGGCTTCTGGGTTCTGGAAAGCGGTCCATTCTCCTGACCCGGATGGAGTGGAAGGAGGCAGCTCAGTCCTAGGCCTCTGCTCCAAGGGCTCTTGTCCCACTACCTCCCACTCTCCCATCCCAAGGGAGAGGGCATTCCCGTCCCTCGCATCCCCTGAGGCTTGGGCTAGCAGTAGGCTCCGCCCTCCCAATTCTCTGCTGGTCGCTGGGTGGGTAGATCGCGGCATCTGGGCTCTGGTGTATAGTGGGGCTGACCGCGAGCGTACGGTCCGGCTGCCGCTCACCGCTGCTTACGCTCCGCCTGCTGAAGCCGCCGGGAGAGGTCGTCGATGCGCACGTTCTTGAGCTGGAGCAGGTGTTCCAGGCGCCTCACCTTCATCTGCAGGACCTGGGCCGCACCGCGCAAAGGTCAAGTCTCACCACCTGTTCCCTTCTTCAAACCCCCACCCCCCACCCAGTCGGCCTTCCCAGTGCGCCCTCACCTGCACAGTCTCCTGCGAGGCCAATAGCTCCTGCTCCTTTTCAGCGATCTGGAGGACGAAGTTTGGGTCGCCCTGCAGCGCCTGGCTATATGCAGGAGGTCGGGGTGCGGGTGGCCGACCCCCCCTGGGGTGGGAAACAGTTTAGCGGAGGCCTGGATCTCGGGCCCCTCCCTCACCTTCCAGTGCCCTCGACTAGGCCCTCCTCTTTCTTTTCTTTTCTTTTTTTTTCTTTTCTTTTTTCTTTCTTTTTTTTTTTTTTGACAAGAGTCTCACTCTGTGGCTCTGGGGACAGTGCCTCAGTCTCTTGGGCTCAAACGATCCTCTTGCCTCAGCCCCCAGAGTAGCTAGGACAACAGGCGCCTGCCACAACGCCCGACTAGTTTTTCTATTTTTGGTAGAGACCGAGTCTCGCTTTTACTTAGGCGGGTCTGGAACTCAATGAGCTCAAGCGGTTCACCCGCCTCAGCCTCCCAGAGTGGTAGGATTACAGGTGTGAACTACTGCGCGCAGCCACCCTCCGCCTTTTCTCCTTTCCTGCCTCTCCACCTTTCCAGGAGCAGCCTGCTCCCCTCCCCCACCCCCAGCCTATGTAGGAGGACCACCGAGCCGGGTGAAGTCAGGAAACTCTCCGCTTCCTTACCTGAGCTGTCCTCCTCCTTGGGGATCTGGGGCACCTTCACCTGGGGCCTTCTGGGATAAATCTGAGATAAGGCAAATGGAGGAGTGACCCTGCTGGAGTCTCATTCTCCTGCTCTCCCTCCATCCCCACCTCCCATCCTCACGAGCGATAGGAAGGACAGACAGAAATCTCCTCCTGGGAGGGAGAAAAAGAAACGCCACCTTACCCACATCCATGTAGCCACTGCCATCCTGGAGAGCCAACTCCTGAAAGAACCCCGGTTGTCGATGGTGAGCCCACGCTCAGTATCCCGAGGGAGCCCTCATGTTCCTTCCGCGGTCCCCCAAGCCCAGCTCTCTTTAGCCAGGCACTCCTGCCCAACAGTTATCGCCAAGGCGGGGCTTTCTGCTGTTTGGAATCCAACTCCTCCTCCCCCAACACACACACGCCAACCCCCAGCAGTAGAAGACACTTTGGCAGGGTGGCACCTGTAAGGAGCCCGAAGCCCGCTTCCTGCGCTTCTGCCGCTCCTCCAGCCTCTGCCTCAGCGGGATGAGCACCAGCTCCACTACGCCCGGGGCGCACTGAGCGATCTTGCGCATCACGTCGTCTGGTACCGAGAAGTTCAGCTTGTTCAGTACCTTCCTGGGGGGTAGACAAAGGAATGGTGGACTGCGTCCCAGAGAAACGAAGTAAAGGAGACGGGGCAAAAAGAAGGGAAAAGGGGGGTCGCAGTCCCGCGTGTGCAGCCCTGGGGGACTGAAAGGTTGCGGATCTGAGAACCCACCCCCAACAGTCCCAGGCTTGAGTGTGCCTAGGTTCCTTGTCTCCTTGCCAATAAAAGTTCCTTGATTTTGTTACCAGAGGAATTCTGTCTGCATTGGCCCTCCCCACCCTGCCACCAACAGTCTCAGCCTGGTCAATGAAGTACACGGAAGGTAAAAGAATTGGGCAACCCTTAGGAACTCAGTGTGAGGGGCTCGAGATTCCCGCTCCTGCACTCAGGCATCCTGCTACCTGTTCAGATGGTTCCAGTTGCTGAGCTTCTGCTGGAGAGAGTTGGCAGGGACATAATTGTGCATCTCCACCATCTTGGGGAAGTAAAACTTGATGACCTCTGCAACCAGGACTGAGGGAGTGGGAGTAGACATGGAAAGTGGAAGAATGAGTAAGGAAGGAGAGGGTGAGAGGAGAGAAGAGGGAGAATTAGACATGGCAGAGTGACAGAAACCAGAAGAAATTGAGATCAGGTAGAGGAGACTAAGTGTCCAGCGTAACTCAGAGGAGCCACATCACTTCCCCAATAACTCAGGATATGGGAAAACTGAGGTCTCTGGTCCTCTAGCAGAAAATGAGTCTCCAAGAAGAAACTTTCAGGAGCCCAGGGCCCCACCCTAGGAATTCACATGGATGCACACATGCACACACACACTCCAACACCAAAGTCCACGTAAAGAGTCACAGACTCACACCAGCAGAGATGCATAGGGTAGGATGTGTAGACACACAGAATACATAGCAGACACACACAAGCATACATGTAGAATGCACACACAGAAGCACAGAGTCACATATGCACATAGCCTCCCAAATATACACAGAGATGCATAGTTCTGTCATTAAAAGCCCAGGAGACATTTCTAGAAACACAGATTACATAAACACATAATCACAAAGAAACACACATGCATACAAGACCTCCCCAAATACATACAAGACAGAACATACTGACACACATATGAGCACACATGTACTCAGACTCTCATAAGACACACACAGAGCACACAGTAATGTGTGCAGAAATGCACAAATACATCCGTAGACATATATCTTAGTCATTAAAGTCCCTGGATCCCTAGACACACACATGCATGTACACATGCACACAGGATAGAACATGTAGACATGCATATAGACACACATTGTTCACACATGGATGCAAAAAGAAAACATACATAAGCACACACAACTGAAGTCCCAGGAGACAGATCCTCCCCTATCTCCTCTCCCCCCTACCCCGTTCACACAAGCACAAAGAGACAGTATGCACAGAGACTCATTACACACGTACACACATAACCAAACATGTAGACACAAAAAGGTGCACACCTCCATCACTGAAGTCCCGGGAGAGGTTTCGCTTGGGCCGGGACAGAGGAATGTTGTCCACCCACAGGTACAGCTGGTGCAACGCCTCCTCGTCCACACTGCTCTCCATTGGAGCCCTCAGCAAGGTTAAGCCGTTCCAGCCGTGCAGCGTCCAGAGCCAGCTTCAGGATCCCTCAAAAGCCTCTTCTCTAGCTACTGCAGGAGCCCAGACCCGCCTCTGCCTCCCCAACTCAGACTCGCATCCCAGCTGGGAGCGGCCATATTGTTTTCTGAAACCATAGCAACTACTCCCCACCCGCGCTCGCCTGGGAACAAGGAATTCTGGGAGTTGTAGTTTTTTCTTGCTAAATATCTCAGGCCCCAGCTTTGGGGAAAAAGGTGGTTAGGTGTCCTCCCCCCATCTACTACAAAAGCATCACTTCTGCGTCCATGCCACCTGCTGACCAGCCACTGACCCATTATTGGACATGCCAAAGCAAATCAGGTCTCAGAACTCCTGCAGCAATATCCCCAGGACTGGGATCCCTGTCTGGGTCCTTTAGCTATCAGTCACAGATTAAGGTAACACCCCAATGTTTGCCAGCTTTATTGGAGGTCCATTGTAAATGATCTGCTACTCATGTAGACTGTGTGACAGTCTGTGTGATGATGCTTCCTTCCTGGTACCCTCAGCAAAGCTTGACTCATAGGGCTTTTGCCATTCCCCCTTTCCAGAAGTGTCTTGGTAGAGCCTTTAATATGTAACCCAAAGTCCCAGGGAGAACACCAGAGTTCAAGGCCAGTACCTTGGGGCAAGTCACTTTACTTACCTCTATTTCTTCTTTTGTAAAAGAGGAATGGTTCTCACCTACTTGTCCCAATGGGGTAATGGGAAAGAGCTTTACCAATGGGAAAATGACAATATTCATAGAAGACCTGTATTTGTATGGGGCCTGAAGGAATGGAAGTTGGTCAAAGGACCAAAGCAGCAAGAATTACAGCAGACACCTCCACATCCTGCATCTCTCTCTCTGAAGAGCTACTGTTCCATAGATTAGAAATTAATTTGAGTATTCAGTCTCATTTCAAAATAGCACTACCTTAGGAGAGTTAAGAATATGGGTCCCGCCTTTGTAAAAGAGGTCCTGAGTAGCAGTAAAGGGGTACTTCTCATCTCAGCCTGGGGAGAAAGCTTGTCTCCACCAGACTAATGCTGTGGCTTTGTGCACATGATAGGACCCCTTTGTTTTATCTTCCTCCCAGGGGTTTTGTGAGCATCTAAAGTGTTTAGCACAGAGGCAGGCACACAGTAAAGGGCTTGTTAATGTCAGCAGGTTGTTATTAATGAGATGATCTCAGTTCCCGCCAAAGTGGTGTTCTTTTGGCAGAAGACAAATGCAAGTAAACTGCCTTGTTGAAACTTGAGGTGAGGCATCTGACTGGCCCAGGAGACCTGGGGGAGGAGCCACTGCTCCCTCCTCACTTCAGAGCGGATCAGGGGTAGGTTACTTCCTTACAGCTTTCTGGTCTCCTCCTCCAGGGCTCAAAGAGGACCAGATGGAGAAGGGAGTTGGATGGCAAGGGGAGTTCCAACTACATTTTGTTGTCTTAATTGCAGAGCATTTAAGGCCTGGAGGGGATTCCAGGATGCCAGAAGTGCAGAAGGCTAAGAGTGGAAGTCACCTTGCCTTGTTTTAAAGTCATGCATAGTGGCCTTACCTTTATAAAAAAGACCACACCCAAGATAGGCAAGAGACATAAGATGACCTGGGTGTTCTCTCCTTAACATTCCAGAGTGGGGAAGAGGAAGAACTAGGTGGCAAAGTTGGGGCGGAGCTAGGAAAGAACCATGAAGTGTTGTGCCAGCCCCAGGGGAGGTGGGAAAACCGGTTTGGGGCCTAGAGCTGCCAGCCCTGCTCAGGCCCAGGCCTTCCCTTGGCTGGAACCCCTGGGGCCTGAGGGCCTCAGTGAGGGAGGTTCAGGGAGGGAGGGCTTGGCCCTGAAAGGAGAAAAAGGGTAGGATCAGCAAAGAGGCCGGTCCTCACCTTTGGACTGGGGGACACTTCTTGGGGGTTTAACCTCTTCCCAGCAATTTCACCTTCCTTCTCTTACTGTCCCCAGTGGGTGGCCACCAGGCTTGGAGATGCTGATCACTGAACAGCCTAAAGGGTTCCCTCTTAAAGGACCAAAAGTAAACCAAAGAGCGCCCCTTCTGCCTCTCTAAACTCAAACCTGAACCCCAGGAACTGCCCCAATACCCTCTGTTCTGGCCCCAGGCCTGCAAAGACCTTTTAAAACCAGTCTTGGTAGGCCTAGTCCCGAGGTGCATATTGATTTGGCATAAGAGACTGCCGGCACCCTCCCTCCTGCCCCAGCCAAGTGACCTCAAGTTCTGTTCTAACCTCAAAGCAATGTAAGGCTAAGTTTCCTCTAAGCCACCCCTAGGCAGGTACACCTAAGTTACCTTCCTCCCTGAGCTTTTTTTTTTTTTTGAGACAGAGTCTCACTATGTCACCCTCAGTAGAATACCATAGCATGACAGCTCACAGCAACCTCAAACCCTTGGGCTTAAGTGATTCTCTTGCCTCAGTCTCCCAAGAAACTGGGACTACATACAAGTACCCACCCCAATGCCTAACTATTTTTTTGTTGTTATTGTCATTGTTGTTTATGTTTAGCTGGCCTGGGCCTGGTTTGAACCTGCCACCCTTGGTGTATGTGGCCGGCACCGTAACCACTGTGCTATAGATGCTGAGCCCCTCCCTAAGCTTTTATAACATTTATATATAGATGTTGAGGGCTGCCCCTGCTGGAATCTGTCAGGGACACCTCTTAACATTTGCTTCCATGTCCCATCACAGCAAGACTCAAAGTAAACCAGGAAAGAATGTGTGCCCCCAAACAGACGCAAGCCCAGACCATGAAGGATGCACCCTTGGCTGTTAAAATGTTCACCCCACAAAAGGGGAGTGGACAGATTTATTGAATTCAAACTGGGAAAGGAGCAGCTGGATGACTGGACTCTGGGCCCAGCCCCAGGCCCCTCTGCCCAGGATGGCGCCCTGCCAGAGAGGGAGAGGCGTGGGGCCTGTAGCTGCCCACCAGGGAAGCACCCACTATCACTCCCCTGGAGGACCTCTTGGGAACCTCTAATCTGGAAAGAGAACCAAGGGCCCAAGCCACATGAACTGAGCCAGAGAAAGGAACTGGGGAGGTGGAAAGCAGGCAGAAGCAGGCTCAGGAGCCCATGGTGAGTTAGACTGTGCTTCTTACGGCCCAGAAGCGGGTTGGTGGTGGCTGCCAGCCTTTTAGGGGCCTAGGCTGGACCTTCCTCTGGAGTCCTTCCCAGAATGGCTTTGGGGTCCCCCCCACCAAAGACCTGGTGTGGACGGCAGAGGGGAGAGGCACTCTCAGGCCAGGAGCTTCCAGGGCCCACCCCTGGCTTCTGCTGTGGTTAAGTCCACTGAGGGCACGGTGTGGTAGCACCGGACAGCTCCCCACCCACCCCACCGGGTCCCCTGGAGCCCAGGGGAAAATGGGGAGATAAGAGGATTCTGAGAAAGAGGCAATAAGCAGGCAGTGAGACCAAGGAGACCAGGTCTGCCCCAGGGCCAGGGGAAGAAACTTGCTAAAGGTTCTGGGGCTCCATACTCTGAATCCATCCATAGCAAGTGCCCAGAGAGTCCTCTGCCCTGGGCTGCTGCCTCCAATCTGGATTGGGGGCATGACTAGACCTGGTGACTCAGCTTTGATGCCCAAGACCCCGAACTCCTGCCTGCCTGGCGTGGTTCTTCCTGGTTACATGGACCAGATCATGTTCCAAGTGGAGGATGTGGCTCTGTACACGGTCATCAATAGGGAAGGAGGTCAAGTACCTCTTTACCATGGCAAAGTAAGCCATGGCCTCCCCAAAGCTGGGTACAGGCACCTCATCACCATCATCGTCATCGTCGTCATCATCGTCGTCGTCATCATCATCTTCCTCATCATCATCTTCCTCACTGTCCGACTCAGAGTCCTCTCCACCTTCCAGGAAATGGAGAGTAGGACACTGGGCCTCCTCCTGAGCACCATATCCTCCGAAGCTGCCACTGGCTTCAACCACTCCCTGGGCCCAGTCCTCAGCCTCCAAGCCCTCAGAGGAGCTCTCCTCCTCCTCCTCCTCCTCGTCTTCATCACTGTCATCAACATCACCCTCCTCTTCCACCTCCTCTTCCTCCCCTAACTCCTCTCCTTCCCCTCCTTCCTCCTCCTCTTCTTCTTCCCCCTCTTCCCCCTCCTCTTCCTCCCCTTCACCCTCCTCTTCCTCCTCCTCCTCCTCTTCCTCCTCCTCCTCCTCTTCCTCCCCCTCACTCTTGAGAGAAGTGGTGATGGTGGCATTAGGGCCACCTCCAAAGCCAGCTTCCCGAAAGCAGGCGGCTATGTCCGAAGGCTCCACTGCCTGCCAGGCTGCAGCCACGAAGTGCAGGGCCTCCATGAGGCCCAGCTGCAAGCCTGAGCGATCCTGGCCCTCTAGTGCGGCCATGGCCTTGAGCAGCATAGCCTGGCGGTAGTGGCCCTTCACCTGTTGGACCACTCCCCGCTCTAGCGGATGCACGGTGCCCGGCGGGAAGAAGGCTAGTTGCACGTGCCGCAGGCCTGAGGTGTCCAGGGACTGGGCAGCCAAGCGGCCGGCCAGCAAAAGGACCCGGCGAGACTCTGAAGCCATTCGGGTGTCGAGGGCTTTCAAGTACTTGGCCAGGGCCTGGGTGGTTACACCACCCTTAGAGTTGGCGGTGTAGTCGCAGGGCAGGCCAGCTTGGCCTGCACGGGGCTTTGCCGACTTGCCAGCCACCAGCGGGGGCAGCTTCTCGCTGCCATCAGCGTTTGCACACAGCAAGACGCTCAGGCGCTGGGTGGCCTGGCGCGTCCGTCCATCTCCTGCGCACAGCCCAGTGGCCTGGTCGGGCAGGAAGTCGTACCACAGACTGGTCTCAGTAGCGCTGAACACGTCCTGCGAGGCATAGCCCTCCGCCACCGACGGCGGCTGCTCCTCTTGAGTGCGCCAGCCAGTCGTACCCCCGCCGCTGCCCTCTGAGGGCACCGCGGCCGGGCTGGCAGGCGCTGCTGGGGTCCGGGGTGCAGAGTTTCGCGCCCGAGCGCGGGCCACGCCGCTGCAGGACACTACACCGTGGCGTCGGCGAAAGCGGTCCAGCCAGCCATTGGAAGCAGTGAAGTCGTCCATGCCCAGCTCCTCAGCGATACGCAGCGCCTTCTCCTTGAGGATGATGCCCTTGACCGGCAGGCCAGCGGCGCGGATCTGCTGG